ATTAAATCTTTTAATTATTATTTTTATTCTCCAATTCCGTATTTGTTGTTCCTTTTAATTTTTAATTTCATCCTTTTCATTGTTGTATTTATTTTCTAACTTTGTCCTTCTTATTGCATCTAATTAATTATTTCATTTTTTAACATTACATTTATTTTCTAATTGCATTCTTACTACATTTGTTTTTAAATTACATTTTTAAACTTTATTTAATTTTAAATTGTATTATTCTTCTTACTCCGTTTGATTTGTAATTAGATGTTTTTTTACATTCATTTTCTAGTTGTATCTTTTATTGTTTTATTTTTTTGAGTAAATTATTAGTACCTTTAATTTCTAATTAAATCTTTTTTAGTACACTTGATTTCTGCTTACATCCTTTTCATTACATTTAAATTCTAATTAAATCTTTCATTGCATTCGACTTCCAGTTTGATCTGTTTTATTTCATTTACTTTTATATATCTTCTATATTGCATTTATTTTCTAATTTGGTTTTTTGTTATGTTTAATTTCAGATAATATATTTTATTGCACTCAGTTTCCGAATACATCTTTTTAACTCATTTTAAATTCCATTTTTGTAACTTTTTGTTTTTTCGAATTTTCTTTTTCATCTTTTTCATTTGCGTTGCAGCAAAGAATATTATTTTGGGAAAAATCTGAATAAAAGCAATTTAAATAATTTAATTTTTTAATTTTGAAATTAATGTAAATTAATTTCTTTTTATTTCTTTTGTCTCAGTCGCCAGAGAATTGCCCAGGACCCGTTTCTTGGCCCGGGGTTTGGACCAGGAGGCCAGGCTCATAGAAGTACTAAACCCTAAACCCTAAACCCTAGCCACTAAACCCTAGGCCCTAAACCCTAAACTCTAGGCCCTAAAGCTAGGGCCTGAAGCCCAGACGAGGCGATTGAGCTCATGGAAACGCTAAACCCTAAACCCTAGATCGCAGGCTGAGAGCCTAAACACTACAGCTGCACCCAAAGTCCCTAACCCCAAACCCTGGTTTAGAGCTTGGTGGTGAGGGCTTACGGTTAAGGGTTTTGAGACAGGCTTTAGGGTTTAGGATTTAGGGTTTTGCTGTGCCTTTTCTTTTTCTTTTAGGGTTTTGAAGAAGAAGAGGAAAAGAAGAAAGAAGAGCTCACAGAACAGCTCAAAGATGTCGCTCGTGAGCACTGCAGCAGCAGCAGCAGCAGCAGCAGCATGCCATTCTATTTCATTTGCTGCTGCTGCCTGGCGTGCCATTAGCTACGGCTACAAGGCTTTATTTCCTGTGCTGCAGCAGCAGCAGGAGCAGTAGTAGTCTTAGTAGCAGCAGCCGTAGTAAGACAAGCAGCAGCAGCAGCAGCAGCAGCAGAAGCATCACATTCTGTGTCATTTGCTGCAGCTGTTTGGCGCTGCAGCTGCAAGTTTTGCTTCTTGTCCGTCGTTGCTTTTTCACTTTGATTTACTTTTCTCTTTTTGTTTGTTGCAGCGCTTTGCTGCTGCTGCCTTTGGTCCCCGTTTGGTGCTGCTGCCTGTGATTCTTTTATTCGTTTTTGCTGCTGCGTTTGTTGCTTTTGTGTCTTGCTGCTTCTTCTCTCTTTGGCTTTCTGTTGCTGCTCATATTCTTTGTGTTCCTTCTTGCAATTGTTTTTGACTCTTTTGTTTCTTTTTGCTGATGCATTTGCTGCTTATGCTTCTTTCTGCTGCTGCTGCTCACCCCATTTGCTTCGGCCTGGTCGTCTGTGTGTCAGTCAGTTACGCATGTTAGCTGCTGCTGCTCTTGCTGCTGCAGGAAACGCGGAGCTGGCTGTGCTGCCGGCGCCTCGCGCTGCTGCAGCGTTTCCTGCTGCTGCTGCTCTGTACGAGTTTGCTGCTGCTGAGCCTGCAGCGCTGCAGCACAAAAGACGCATCGAAAGAGGAATAGAATTGCGGAAAGATTTCATGAAGATATTTCCTTCAGCACTTCCTGCTGTTCACTTGGGAACGGGACAGGCCATAGATGCCCTTCCGCAGCAGCAGCAGCAGCAGCAGCAGCAAGCAGCAGGCCCGCTGCCCGACAGTCTCGCTGCTCTCCAAACTCTCTGCCTCAATGTCCTCGGCCTGAAGATCTCCGCGCTGCAGCGCGAAGTGCTCGTCTTCGGTAAACCCTCGACACAAACCGTAGACCCCAAACCCTAAACCCTAAATTCTAACCCTCAAAAGCCACACGCCTTCAACGAGCGGCCGCGGAACCGAGTGGCCGTGGGGGTTGCCTTTACAAACGTGCTTGGTTAGCTGCAGCTAAGTGGCCGGCTAGCCAGCTACCCTGCTATCTAGCTAGCCAGCTAGCTAGCTAATTGGCTAGCCAGCCAGCTAGCTACACCACAGCGCACCAATTTTGGCTAGCCGATGAAAATGCGGAAAAGTATTAGTAGCTCGTCGGGCTAGCTAGCTGCTTACCTGTCTAAGCAGCTAGCAAGCTAGCAAGCTAGCTAGCTAGCTCGCTAGCTAGCTAGCTTGCTCCTTAGCTGCCTGCTTACATCACGTCCTGCGTGGTTAGAAGATGTTATATGCATAGAAGATGCCTTGTTTCCGTGCGTGTCTATCTTAACTAGCTAGCTAGCTTCTTGGCCAGCCAGCCAGCTAGCTAGCTAGCTAGCCAATTCGCTAGCCAGCTAGCTAGCCAGTTCTCCAGGTAGCTATCTAGCCAGCTTTCTAGCCAGCTAGCTAGCTACGTCGCTAGCTAGCTAGCTAGCTGGCTAGCTGGCTAGCTAGCTAGCCAGTGGCTGTGCGCTGCGGGCCGCGCAGGCGCCCCGCGCAGCTGCTTGGGGTTTGAGGGGGACTTGACGGCGCTGGACTTCAGCAGCCACCGCAGCTGCAAGTTGCTGCTGCAACCGCCGCTGCTGCTGCGGCCCTCGTGGAGTGTGGAGGTGCTGCTGCTGCTGCCGCTGCCGCCGGGGACCGCCTACCACGCAGTTTGCTGCGACAGCGAGGGCAACGTGCCCCTCTGCATCATGCAGAAGCAGATTCCTTTCAAGCAGCAGCAGCAGGAGCAGCAGCAGGAAGGGCCGGTCTACGTCATGGACCTAGGCATACTTATTCCCGCGGAAGCAACTGGAGCCAGCAGCAGCAGTAGCAGCAGCAGCAGCAGCAGCAGCAGCAGCGACAGCGATAGCAGCAGCAGCAGTGACAGCAGCAGCAGCAGCAGCAGCAGCAGCAGCAGCAGCAAGCGGAAGAAGGAAAAGGAAGAGATTGTTCACCGAAATGGATTTATTTCTTGTTTTCGACGGAAAGGGGGAGAAAAGGAAAAGCAGCTGCTGCTGTCAGCTGTCTGTACACCCGGATACCACTTGCTGCATGCAGTTCGGAGAGGAGATGAAATCAGTTTTTATTTAAATGGAATTCAAATTGGACTTATTTTCAAAAATCTAAAAAACACTTTTTCCGAAATCAGCGCAATTGGAAACCAAATTCAAGGAGGCAGACCCGCAGGCACGATCGACGCCTTCAAGGTGATTCTAAACCCTAAACCCTAAACCCTCAAAAGCCCTTTCTCAAAAACCCTAAACACCTGAAACGCCAAACTCTCAAAAGCCATATACTCAAAATCCCTAAACCCTCAAACACCCTAAAACCTAAGCGCTAAAACTCTAAAACCACAAAACAAAAACCACAAAATCCCAAAAGCCCTAAACCCTCAAAAACTCTAAACCCATTAGAAACCCTAGGTTCCCAGAAACCCCCCAAACCGTCAGAAGCCCTAAACCCTCAAAAACCGTAGACCCTCAATAAACTCTTGACCCTCAAGAAACCCCAAACCCGCAGAAGTCCCAAAACCTCAATAAACCCTAAACCCTCAACAAACCCTGTACCCTCCACAAACTCTGAACCTTTGAAAGCCCTAAACTCTCAGCGAATGCTTAATCCTCCACAAACCCTAAACCCTCAAGGAACCGTAGGCCGTCAAAACAGCCTGAGTCTCAAACCCTAAACCCTCGACAAATTTTAAACAACCCTTACTAAACCCTAAACCCTGAACTCCACGAAACCCTATACCTTCGAAGGCTTCAAACCTTACGCAGCTTCGACCCCTAGAGCACAGGGGAAACCCTTAGGGCAAACCCTAAACCCTCACGTAAACCCTAAACCCTAGCTTGAGGCACGTCAGGCCCCCTAAACCCTAGCGGACGCCGGCAGCAGCAAGCACCCGTGTAAAACCCTAGTTGGAATCAGGGTTGAGGGCTGAGGGT